ATTTCCTTAGTCTTCTTCATCCTTTATAGGGGTTGGAATACTGCACAAGACACAAGTTATTTTGGTGAGGATGAGCACTTGACTGATACATACAAACCCTGGGGAGAACTTAATTGATTGGTATCCTAAACCTGCCAATTTAGGCACCGCCGTCGTTTTCCTACCACTTCATGCTGCCTGCTACTAGAAAGTATAACCTGCATATGGAGCTGGAGTTCTAAATTAGCTTAGGGTTTAGGATTGGGTTGAGGATCAGTTTTTAAGTTGGGACACATGTTTACTATGGTGAGTGATAGCAGCAGTGGTGTTTCACGACTGCCGCTAGGGCTCCTCTTAATTCACAGCAAAAGCTAGAAATACTCGGGCATTACTACATAATGGATAAAATTCGTATTGCAGTTATCTTCTATTTAGTATTTAGTTCTTGGTTTACGAGTATACAAAATTCTGTGCAGAAGTGATTAATGTAAAGTCTGGTCTGTTGAATTCAGCAGCAAGCTTATGTTAAAGTCCTCACTTAGGAACATCCGAGACGTCATGAAAAAGCAAAATGTAATGGAATATCCATAATCTTTCTGATTATTCGGCCACATTCATCATCTTTTCTTGTACTAAATTTTGTTTGTCAAGATCTTATGATGTCCAGGATGTGTTGTGCGCGCAACGGAGAGGTCGCAGTTGTGCTTTCTACCCTCCGTGTGAGCCGCTGGAGTCCTACGAAGGCTGTCATCACTGTCGCCACTTCGTCATGTCTTCGCTTCCAGTTACGTTCATTCATCTTCATTTTAAGTTCTTAGCCGAAGTATTTGTGATGAGCTCAATAAATATCTGATCCTATTTTGACTTAAAACTGCATGATACTGTTGACGATTGGTGTTATTACATTCTTCGGACATAGAAAAAAAAAACCATAAATTGTTTTAAGCCCTGTGCTTGTGACTAGGGGTGGAAATGAACCAAATAATTAATAAATGGTTCGATAATTGTTCGAATAACTATTCGGTCATATTCGATTCGATAGTTCATTTATCACTAAACAAATATTTTTTAGTATTCGAGTTTATTAACGAATAGAATTTAACCAGATATATATTCGATTCGTTTGTCTATTAAATATTCGTTTAAAATTTGATCACAGCTTATTATTTGTATTATTGCACATATGATGTCATATTTTTAACCCACTTACCATTTCTACTTAAATTTTATATATAAATTTTAAGACTTAAATAATCTTAAATCTGTTTTCTAATTAAAATTTTGATTTAAATATATATACATCATATATTATAAAGAAATAATTTTTATTTATAAATTTTAATACTATTTGAAAATTAAACTCTTTAGCGAAATAAATATACTTTGATATTCGATAAGTATTCGTGAATATTCATGAATATTTATCAAATACCAAGTATTCGAGTTCGAATTCAAAAAACTAGATATATGAATAATAGAGTTCGCATTTGAATTCGATAATTTTTAACAAATACAAATATGAACACCTTAGTATTCGATTCGATTCGATCATTTACCACCCCTACTTGTGACCAGACAGAACGTGCACAATCATACTAACGTTTTTCTCCCTCTGCAAAGATGCGGGAGGCACTGACTTCTGAGTCATTGCAGAGTGGGTGCTGCACTGGGAACACTGTCTGGGCCTTCTCATGGCCCTCTCAGCTATATCCATTCAAAGAGAGCCTTGCTTCTCATCTAGAAACGTATTGTCTTTTTTTATCTAAAAAAAATAAAAATAAAAAAAGGAAAGAAGAAAAGAAAAAAGAAAAAGAAAAGAAGATTATCTTTTTTTTTATTTAAAACCGAGTTTTGATAACTTGCAACATTCTCCTAAACAATGATAGTATGTCCATGTTGATTTCTTCTTTGTAGATATGTCGACAGAGCACAATCCAAGTTGGTTTCTTCTTTCTAGTATTATATTAGATCTATGCCTTGTTTAGTACGCCAGAACGGTAACAAGTGAAAATGGAATGTAATAAAGAATGAAAACGGAACAAGTGTGGAGATGAATGCTCATTTCTATTCTCACTTTTAGATATGATTAGAGAATGAAGAGGGAGTGCCAATCTTCTTTATTTTTGGTATCGGGTAATTATCATGCAATCAAGACATGTTTGAAACTTGATTCAATTTTTAATTTCCCACCTAAGTGTAAATTTCATTCCCTACCATCTCACTGAGAATGCAGTGGGAATGAGAATTCTAACTTCTAAAAAAAAAGAAGAAGCAAGAATGGTCATTTCATTTCACCTGTTCATGTGTCCCAAATGAGGTGTTATGAGTTTGGAAGAGTGCTTGGCATCCGGAGTATTAATCGTCTCGGATCCGCTAATCTGACCTCAAAATAATTTTAACCATCTGATTGATATCTGGATATCCTAAACCAAAATCACATATTATACTTATTCAAGATGGGATCGTTTGGTTTTCTGCAAAATTAAATTGCAGCAAATGTTGAAAAATCAACTTTAAATACATTACTTGAGCATCTATAATTATGTTATGGGAGATGTACGTAGTTCCAGAACGAATTCAGTTATATTTGTCAACATCTTCGTGCATTCCTAATCTGGTTTTGATTCAACCAAACCAACCTCATCTCGACGTTGGATTGAGAATGAGGAATCACTTTTACATGGTTAGTGTTTTACGATCGACATCAAAAGTTGCGTGGCAGCACCCAGAATGAAAAGAAAGCCAAAATTCATGCATGTCATCTTCTTGATGTTCATATTCTCTCACGTGTGATTCCCCAAATTTCGTCACGCGCGCATACTTCGTGCGTCCGCTGTTCACCCCTTATCCTGACCCAATCCCTCGCCTTCACCACACAAACACAGCTACCAACCTCCACATACACGCTGCCACCTTTTCCTTCTCTCATTTCCTCCCTCTCCCCCTGTGCACAACCTGTCATAACTATTTATTCTTTATAGGAAAAAAAAATGATGATTTCATCTTTACGAAAACTGAACTCTTTAAGTTGCTCTTCAAAGTAACTATGTGTATATTATGTCCAATATGATCATTTT